CCACAGGGCAGGAGTCTTCAAAATAGCCCATTTTTAGGGAGTAGATGTCACACGGGAACTTTTCACCAATTATTAATGAAACACACTACCCTAGCAAGAGCTACAAACCAGTGTTTGGCAGTGTCCTGTACAGGGATGGAACAAGCTGCTGTCATCTGAGGGTCCAGAGGTCTGCCAGGCCATCAGTGTATAGGTGGAGAGGATCTTGCCTCTCCTGCCTAGAGAGGAAGGAGATCTTGCCTTGGAAGAGAACACATACTAACAAGCTCCCAAGCAGTAATTTAGGGTTGCTCAATCTCCAGAGAAGCTCCCAAGCCACTATGCCTCCAGGGAAGGGCACATAAGCAGTTACAGAGAAGTGGTCCAGGTGCAGGAGCTGTTTTGCCCTCAGTTCACCTATTCATGCCATAATGCTGCAAAACCAACCCTCTTTGACAGACAGACCAAGGGGCTGGGATGATGGTCCTTCTGAGGCTGTGTTAATGTTCCACCAAAACAGGTCTGAATAACAAGTGAATTTGTTCAGAGCCATGACTGATTTCAGATCCATAACAGCTCTGAGAATAAACATCAGATTTAAAAGTTTCTTACTCACAGTTGTATTTACGTTTGCTCTGGGTAATGTCTCCTGGAGAACTAAAAAGGGGAGAGCTTGAACCTGCTGCTGGCAACCTCCCTCCTGACTGTATTTCGAAAGCATGATGCCCATGCACAGGCGGCAAAGTTACGTGTTTATACCTTTTAAGCACAAGACATCAAAGGCAAATCTCACACCAAACTTATCCAAAGACACATTTGCTAAAGGGATACTCATCATAAAAGCATATTTTAAAAGAGATCTGAACTCTTCCCCTTCTCTTATTAACAGATTTTCTGTTACATAGTATCACACCTACACACTGAAGGCTTAAATCTACTTTTATACCTTTTCATATAGCTGTAGAAGAAAAGTCTACTAGCAGTTCCATTATTGTTTAGAGCCTGTAAGTTTGTAAGAGAAAAGAAATCTAAATCAAACTACTGCTGATTTTAGAAAATTGTCAAACTGAAATGCTGCTGTGAACACCTTACTTAATATAGAAAAATACATATAAATAGCAATTTGGGGATGGAAAAAAGATGGAAGTGTCCTCTACCAGGGAATATTAAATGATAGTGCCACCCCAGCTTCACACACAATTGCTGCTTAGATACTTCATACAAAGATCCCCATTGTTTAAGCAAGAGCATGGGTGCCTTACTAATCTCTGATTATATTCAATCTCTACCAGAATAGTGGGTTGCAACCTGTTAGCCTGCTAATAGACAATTAGCAATGTCGATATAATTTTAAATAAGGTTATTGAACACTAAACTGATAATAACTTCAGAATAAATGCTCCATTGATATTCCTAAGTTGAGGGGGAAAAAACCATTCTGCACTGCAAAAAGATTGAATATGCAGGGCTGAGTAAATAGACAAACAGAATTAAAAGTGTCATTAAACACATTATCTACATTAATTTATCTATATCAATATTAGGTACAGTAGCTGGTATCAAAATACCTACGTTTGCCCTGTTCCCCATGTAGGTGGCTTGTGCAGGTTGTTTTCCCTTATTGCTTGCATCATTGTGCAAATATCAAAGAGAAAGTGAAGCTGGCAAGAACACAGAGGTCTTGGAAAGGCAGCCTTTCCCAGGCAGCTTCTACAGGTGAGCAAAAGAGTTAGAGTGGGGAACAAGGAAAGGACTCAAAGGAATAATGACAATTGTGAAACAATTCGCTCCCAGTCCACTGAAGCAAGGAAGTTCTTGTGCTCACTTTTTGTGACCCAGGAACAGAGGGGAGGGAGACGGGAAATTCACCTGGAAGTCATCCAAATTCATTCATCCACTGCATCAAATTCCAAATGCAATGCATGAACATAAAAGTCTAGAAATTAACTGAGAGGATTTCAGTTTGCACAGCATCTACTGGGGGGAAAGGGAGGAGCAGACCAATACCTAAGCATGTTGCCATCACAATGGCCATTCCTGAGTGTTTTGCCTTTGTATTTGAGTGCACTGCAGGATGTTAAATAATTAAGATAATATTCTTGTATCCCAGATGCCAACAAATGACAGCATGAGATTCATTCTTCAGCTTTCTGGATGCTGTGCATGCATTATACAACACACAGTTTTCAAACTGGTTAAACAAACCACAAATGTGATCATGTCACCAAGTAAACCGAGCAGAAGGGCAACCAGCGTGTCCAGAGCAGCAACTACTTACCCAGCCTGGGCATAACTGCCCCCAGGAACTGTTCATCTTCCTGAAAATGGTTTTCTTGTAGAGATTCAAGCAGTTTCTGTAAGACATCCTGCGGCACTTTGCAGCCTGTGCCCTTCAGTTCAGTGAATCGGGTCAGACGGAAGCTCTTGTCCAGTTCGTAACTTTCTGGGTTAAAGGACTCCCGAACAGACATGGTTCTCTCCCACAGACTGCCGGCCTCTCCCACCCCAGAGCAACGGGATCAGTTTCTCTGCTGATCAGTCTTATTGAAAAATAAAAATAACAATTAAAAAAAAAGGAACATTGGAAAGTCCCGTGACCTGCAAGAAAACGTGTTTTCCACGTGGTGCAAGTGCTTGCTATGGTTGTTCACCTGTTAAGACAGGTGTGCACATCTCACATAACTCATTTCCCTATGACTACAAAGGGATGACTTCTCATCCTATCTTCTGACATTTAAAACCACAACTGTGCCAGGTGAATCAGAGAATTAAGTTCTTTTCCAGATATGCTGCATAAGGTTTTCATTAAAAAAAGAATCTAACACACTTACCGTCCTCATTTAACACAGAGGTAATGAAAGAAATAATAGTTCCCAGAGCACAAGGCCAACTTCCAAAAGGCAACCTGGGCCCTGATCCTGCAGCATGCTCAGCAGAGACATCTGTTTGCACTCAGCTCAGTGTGGGGTCATAATTTTAGCCATTAACATATTAATCTCAAAAATAGGATGCTTTTCAAATAATGGCTCTGATTCAGTCCTGAAGTAAGAAGCTGAAGTTTCATAATACACCTGTTCTCCTTGGGAGAAAACACAGTCCTGGTGTTCTGTTGGCACAGGTAGCAGAAGAACAAAGAGGCTGTATTTAAGCAGAGTGGTTCACCTTTTAGCATGCCAGTTTACCTTTTAGCACGTTCACAGACAAAAAAATGCTGAAAAGTTTCTTGCCTCTTCAGCCCTTTTTTAGTCAACTAATGATACGGAAAATCAGACAATTGTCCATTAAAATAGTAATGTAAAAAGACACTGATGCAATTCATTTAATAAAATTCTTAACAATGCATGTCTAATTTTAGAACGTTTTTCCACTCTGACTCACATCCACCACACTCCAAAACTAATAAGAGGCCTGAGACATTGACTTCTAAACAGGAACGGCTGTGATAAAATACAATTCATCTTTCTCAGAGAACAAGTTTTCAGGAATTACCAAAAGCAATCTGTCTAGTAATAGTTTCTTAGAAAGCAAAGATCCTATGTAACAGCAACAAGAACAGAGTTCAGAGGCATCACTGACAAAACCTGATACTGACGGTCATGCCCTAATGAGGTTAAGCTGAAAAGAAGAATTCAAGGGACTCGTATTTGCCAAGTTCAGCTTTGCTAAATGAAAGAAAGAAGTAAATCTACAGACTGCGCTGTATCTGCCCTCCATGGCACTTATTAACAAGCACATCTGTTCCATAAACCTTTAAGTCAATTTATTGTCTGTAATTTGTAGGAACTGAAGTTTTAAGTTCCCTGAGAACTTTTGATGTGGAGCCCAACTCCCCTTCACTGTGTTTTCCCTCCTTCTCTGGGAGGTGTGGCACTTATTTAAAACAAATCTTCCAAAGCCTAGGCTCGGGCAGAAATCCAAACTCTAGTTACAAGAACGTGTCTTGGATGAGCAATGAATTCAGTTCCTAGCCGTTGTCTTCCAATGCAAGACACTAAGCGCTTGCAAAAAAAAAAAAAAAAAAGTGTCTGGAAAACAACCTGTCAACAGAAATAGGAGACAAAAGCTTTTCAAGGAGGGAGGGATTTTTTTTTTCTTCATTCTTTTTTAACGCTTCATTCTAATTAATTCCAGAAAACTATAAAAAGCAGCTTGCCACACAAGAGAAACATCTTCCTTCATCTAACCAATAAGTGCAACAAGCTTAGCACCCCCTGCCTACTTACACAGGGATGGATGCAGAGGCCACAGCCTACCAGGAAATTTTTGAACCCTTGAGGACTGTAAGGACAGTTCCCCTGTTTAGCAACAACTCGTGAAACAAACAACATGATTTAATTTAATGGAAAACATCCCCAGTGAAACAATACGGTAACTTCTAATAAAGATCTGATTAAAGCTGCTTGCAACTGTGTAATTCGCAGACTCCCATGGGAGCAACATTCCAAGTTTTGGTGACTTCGGTGGTCACAGCACCGAGCCTAGCAGAGTTCATGAAGAGTTTGGACAACTCTCAGGCACAAGGTGTGATTCTAGGGGCTGTCTTGTGCAGAGCCAGCAGCTGGACTGACGGCACTTGAGAGTCTCTTGCAACTCAGAACATTCTGCGATTCTGGCAGTCCATGCAGCATTGCGATGTGAGTGACAAGCATCCCTCCCCAGCAGCAGACAACACCTCCTAACCCAGACGTTTCTTACTTTAAAAGAGCGGCATAATAAATATTAAAAGCTAAAGTTTAACCCTTGCCTTCCTAAAGAGCAGAGAGAGGGGAGCACAGGAGCCAAAAGGGGGGGAGGGAGGGAGAACTGGAGCCAGCTACATACCCCAAACAAACCCCAGCGCACCCACGGCCAGCCCGACCGCCCGAGACACACGAGGCGAGGCGCTGCAGCCACCATCGATCCGGGGAATGCGGCGGGGAGCGCTGCGGGCAGACATGGCTCCGGGACACCTTAAATTTCCAGCCGCTGCCTTTAGAGGCAAACCCGGGGCCTTCGCTGCCGCTCTTTGTGCAGCCGGAGAGGCGGCGGGGGAAGAGGACGAGGAGGAAGAAGCTGCGAGCGGAGCGGCGGTGCCAGCGGCCCCTTCCCGGGGTGCGGCGGGGACGGAGCCCGCGGGTGTCCGACCGCGGTGTCCCCCGTGTCCCCACGTGCAGGTACGGTGTCACCGGGGCGGGGTTCACCCCTCGCTGGCGGGGACGGCCGGTGGGATGTTGGGAGCAGCCACCCCCCCACGCCGACACTCCGTAATGGGGAGGGAGAGAAGCACGGGGGTGGGGGGAGTAATGGG